AAAGATAAACCACGAATTACGAATTACAATATGTAACAAATATAAAATGGTATTAACATTTTCAGTTTATCAATACGTAATAGGTTATTATTATTATAATTTTTTTTTTTTTTGTAATATGGATAAATTGAAATTGATAAAATAAAGTAAAAAGGTCAAGTCATAATAATTATAATCTTCTAGCTTTCCTTGGCCTACAACCACCAAATGGTAATGGTGTAGAATCGGTGATTCTCTTAACAATCCAAGGATTTTCAGGTGAAGCGATAGCTTTAAAAGCAGCATCCCTTCCAGGACCGAAACCCTTTATCAAAACCTCCACATTCTTAACTTTAATTCCCTTTTCTTTAACTTTTTCGACTAAAGCAGCAGCAGCTTGATGAGCAGCTTCATAACCACCTCTCTGAGCTTTTTTAAAACCGACAAGTCCACCAGAAGAATTAATTAATACATCTTTACGAGAATTTGTTAATGAGACTATAGTATTATTGTAAGAGGCGTGAATATGAATACGATAAAGTTCTTCGGATGGTACTAAAAAGTCAGATAAGAGTTTTGCTACATCAGAACCAGAAGTTTTTTGAGTAGTATCAGATTTCGTAAAAGTAGCAAAATTTGATAGTAAAGGATTAGGAGATGAAGAATTTAGATCAGCGTCATTAGAGCCTGTGCTCGCTAATCCACCATGTTTTTGTTTATTTGCAAAACTTAAAAGAAAAGAATCAATTCCTTCAGTATCATTTGTATCATTTGTATCATTTGTACCATTTGTATTATTTGTATTATTTGTATTATTTGTATCATTTGTAGTAGTTTTAGGACTAATGCGATTTCTACCACTTTTTTCAAAAGGAGAAACGGAAGAAGTGTAATGATTTGATGTTTGTTGTTGAGAAGAAGTAAAAAATGTAGATGATTGTATATGAGAAATATGAGGAATAACACTTATAGCATTTAGAAATTTGAGGGAAAGCATTTTAGAATTAATTTAAGATTTTTTGCGAGATTGATAAATAAAGATCGCTCACAATGTCACGTGATGAGGATCACATCGACATCGATTATCTATTTTTTGGAATGTACTGTACCAGTACATACCAGATACTGATACATACGTACGAACGTACATACGTACGTAAATATGCAAGCAGCACTTGCATAAACACAAGATAAATTATTATTTATTTACGCTTGGCATAGTTTTTCCAACTGGAACCAATCAAGGTATTGAATTTCCACATGTACTATTAAATTTTTAGGATTTCGATATAGTTATTTAACACCAAGAATCATTTGTCACAAATTAATTCTCGTAATCAATAAATATGTATTAACGGGTTTATTAAGTTTGCAATGAAAAAGAAAATAGATACATGATTCTAATCATCAAAAGTCAATGATTTAAACCCATTTGTATTAATATCAATAAATAAAATGCATGAATTTGTAAAACAAAAATAAATTCCCATTAACATATATATGAACAAACCTTTGTTTATGCCATTTAAAAACAAAATCGAAACAAATCGAAACAAATCGAAACAAATCGGAATTGAAATAGATTTTAGCCCAAAACATTAAATATACAAATGATATTCTACAATTCACTAATAGAATCAAGAACATTTTCATATTCCGCCTTAAGTTTAGTACGTTCCTCGGTTAATTCCTCAATTTTCTTTTCTTTATCGGACACTTCATTTTCAAGTTGTGCGACTTTACGCTCCAAATTTTCGCATTTAAGTTCACAATCACGAAGTCTAAATTTCATGAACAATATAGAAAAAGGTCAATATTAAGAATTAATTTCGAATTATTTCGATAGATCATTATATATATATTATGTGAATTGTTAATACATATTATGTGGATTTTTGATCACTGGGAAATTGATAATCCATGATTTTGAAGAAATCCATAATTTTGAAGAGAAATAACTTAACAACTTACTTCTCCGTAGTCTCCTTCAAGGTCTTCTCAGTTTCATCTAAATCAGTTTCGAGTGATGCGACTTTTTTTTGAAGATTAGAATGTTCAATTTCTTTAGAGGATTGGTCTTCTTGGAATTTTTTAAGTTCTTGTTCTGCCGCATCAGCACGAGCATTGGCAGTCTCGAGTTCAGCTCTGAGTGCATTAACTCTCTATTTATTAAAAATAAATCAAATAAATAAAGATTTTATTATAATGGTTCATTTTAAACTTTGGACACGTGAATATATTCACTTTTATACTATAGACGGTACCCTCAGTCGACCAAGTTTCTACGTATACTAAGAATGCTGCGTGGAAATTATCCCAACTTTTATTTATTACCCATTATTATTATTATTATCTTGTATTATTAT